CGCCCGTCCTTCGGATATTCGTTCGAGGATTTCCTTATGGGCTTCGTCTTCAGCGACTTCAGTTTCCTCCAGCATCTGTTGTGCTGTCAGCTTTGGTTTCTTAGCTGTCCCATACTTCCGTTTCGGCTTAGTCGGTTCGACTGCCTGGTTGGCTGCTACGACTTCGGTAGTCGGCGCCGATGTGTCCGGTAAGTCGACCTTCCGTTTAGTATACTTGCGCTTTGGCTTGGTCGGTTGGGCTGCCGAGTCGGCTACGACGACCTCTGTGGTCGGTGCCGACGAGTCGGTTTGCTTTACCGTCCTCTTCTTCCGAGCTGGCTTTGTCGCTGGCTTCGGTTCTTCCGTTGATTGGTTGGCTGGCTGGACCGGCGTTTCCGACTTATCATCCGACTTCTTCGGTTGCTCGGTGGTCGGCTGAGCTTTGTCCCCAGCGACTTCTTCCGAGGTCGGTGCTGGTTCAGCAGCTATCACATCTTGCTTCTGAAGTTCCTTCAGTGCAGGTGTCTCGAAGTCGGTCGGTGGTTTCTTCCGAGGTCGACCTCGTTTCTTCTTCGCCGTCGGTTCGGTTTTATCCGTTTCGTTGTTCGGATCCGAAGGTTTTTCGACGGTTTCTCTTGATTTCTTCTCCGGCTTCCGAGTAGCTTCCCTTTCTGTCGGGTCGGCTACCGGGCCAGTTGACCGAGTTGCTGGTCGACTTGTCTCGACTCGGCAATGTTTTATTCGGTCGACGGCTACCGTATCTTCACGTCCGTCTTCGCATCGAAGGAGTAAGTTATTTGGGCCCACATAGTTGATGACCGTCCAAACTCCATCGTAGCGTTCCTTCCGAGTTGGGTCCTTGGTCGGAAATTCCACCGTTACCTTGTCCCGCGGTTTGAAGGTCGGATTCGACTTCTTCTTGTTATAGTGCTCGGCATTCCGTTCGAATGCTTCATCAATGTTGATGCGAGCAATCTCGTGCGAGCGTTGAAGTCGTTCTTTTATCCGTCGGATGTAGTGTTCCTTATCCGTGAAGGTTTCCGGTGTATTCGTTCCGGCCACAATGTCCTGTGGCATGGTCATTTCTCGACCATACATCATATAAAACGGTGAAAATTTAGTCGCGGCATGGACGGCTCAGTTCATTCCGCAGACGACGTAATCCAAGGCTCTGTGCCATCGGTGTCCGTCTTTTACATCGCAGAACTTCCTTATTCCGTCCCATATCGTTTGCATTTGCCGTTCGACTTGTCCTTGTCCTTCCGGATGGTGGGCAGTTCCAAGTGTGTGTTGGATGCCGAAAATCCGTGCGACCTTAACGAACGTTTTCGCTGTAAAGTGAGTCCCTCTGTCTGAGTGGATGAAGGTCGGCATTCCGTACTTCAAAAGGACATCCTTGACGAAAAACCGTTCGAATTCCCTCGCGGTGTTCGTCTTTGTTGCCCGGGCTACGGTGAACTTCGTCAGCTGGTCGGTTACCACTGCGATGTACTGGTATCCCTTCGTCTCCGTCCGAGGAAGAGGACCTTTGAAGTCCGCATAGATGCGATACCAAGCTTCACCGACTTCCGTCTTTTGGAGTTTACCCGGTGGTGGACATCGTTGTTTATTCGCCATGATGCACTGTCGGCATTTCTCAAATGATTTTACGTCGGTCATCCTCCGTTCCGTTGTTGAGGTGGTCTTCGACTTCCAACTCGTCGTGTTGTTCCGGTGTCTCCGGTGCTGGGATGTTTATGACTCGGACCTCTGTGGTACTCAAGTCATGCCAGTCGGTTATGACATTGCATCCGGGGAGAACCGGTGGAAGAGGGATTTTCGGTGGTTCCTTTAGATCCTTCTTCCTTTTCTTTGAAGCATTTGCCTTCAGACGTCTAAGAGTCCGTATTGTACAGACCTTGATTTTGTCCTTAAAGTCCTCGAAGTTGAGGACTTGGTCCAACTCTTCGTGTGGATCTTTGTCGTCACTACGTTCGAGTGGCCATCTCGACAGGGCGTCCGCATTGTCGCAGAAAACTCCCGGCTTATACTCGATGGTTATGTCCCGTCCTTGTAAAGCCAGTGCCCATCTCGTTAGTCGAGGGTTGATGCCAGGTCGGTTCGACTCGCATCGGAGCAGATTCTGCAATGCTCGGTGATCCGTTCGTACGGTGAATAGTCCGTGGTCGATGAAGTGCTTGAATTTCTGCACCGCCCATACCACGGCCAAACATTCCCATTCGGTGACTCCGTAGTTGAGTTCCGGTCGGCGTAGGACTCGGCTGGCGTAGGCGATTGGATGATCATCTTGTGAGATCACCGCGCCAAGTCCGGCTCCGCTTGCGTCACATTCGATGACGGTCTTCTTAGTCGGGTCGAACTTCGCCAGTACCGGTGCTTCTGTTAGCGCCTTCTTGATGTCGTTGAACTCAGCCGTGTGGGCTTCCGTCCAATCGAGCTTGATGTTTTTGTCCTTCCGTAGGAGCTCGTACATTTTCGATGTCTTCTGAGCGTATCCTCGGATGAATTTCCGGTAGTAGTTGGCCAATCCGAGGAACGACCTGAGTTGCCGTTCGGTTCTCGGGCAGCTTTGTTCTGCAATACAGGCCACTTTCTCATCGTCGGTCTGGACTCCGTTCTTGCTAAGGACGTGTCCTAGGAACAGCAGTCTGTCCGTTCCGATCTCACATTTGGAGGGTTTGACCGTAAATCCAGCATCGCGGAGGCATTCAAGAGAGTCGCTCGGAAAGCCTCGAGGAAGTCTTCGAAAGTTTTACCGAAGAAGATGATGTCGTCAATGTAGGCGAACACACCCTTCTTCCGGGCTGATGCTGTGATCTTATCCATATGCCTTTGGAAAGTTGCGGGTCCGTTGCAGACTCCAAACGGCATACGGTTAAATCGCCACATGCCTTCGGGTGTTACGAAGGTCGTGTAGTCTTTGGACTGTTCATCCATGGGAATTTGCCAAAAGCCGGACTGACAGTCTACCTTGCCGTAGTATTCCATTCCGGCACATCGGTCCAGTAGCTCGTCCGGGTTCGGTAGTGGGTAGTCGTTCTTCTTTGTGACGGCATTCAACTTGATATAGTTGATGCAGAAGCGTGTTCCTACCGTGCCGTCTCCGTTCCGTTTCCTGGCTAAGACGACGGGGAAGCTCCATGCTGCCGATGACGGTTCGATGACTCCTTGGTCGAGCATCTCTTGCACGTGTTTACAAAAAACGATGAATCACGCCTATGTTAAGCTATGGGAACTTTCCCCTGCACGCTGATTGGCTGTCTCTAAAGTACTGATAAGCGGTCGTTATGACGTCACAAGGAAGTTCGAGAATTTTCGCGCTATTCCCCGCGAGAAAAACAAATTATTTTTGGTCGGCTAGAAAGTTTATCTAGTCGGATTTTTAAGTTTTTAACCGTTAGAAATTAGTTTTATTAGTTAAGAAAATTTTCTGGTGGTCGAAACACCGTTAGAAATCAAAACTGAGAAAATTTCCGACCTGTTGCCGGTTAGCCTTTGTCTATCTGTCTAGACAGGTTCGTTGACCTAGCAGGTCGGTTCTCGACCAAAAGCAGAATTCCGAGTCGGTTTCTCCGTCAGAAATTACTTTTTAACCGTTCAAAAGTTTAAATCTACGGTTAGAAATAGTTTTCTACCGCTAAAAAGTGAAAAGCCGACCTAGTTTCGGCTGAAATCGACCTACAACCGTGACTTTACCAGTGTCGGTGTCGGTGTCGGTTCCGCTCGATTTCCTCCGTCCGAGGTCGGAAATCCGTCGTTTCCGTGCTGAAATCCGCTAGTAAAGTTGCGGGTCGCTGTTCAAAGCGAAGGTCCCCGTATAATTGGATTAATCCTATCGCGCTGCAGACTCTCGTTCGAGTCTGATCCGTCAGTTGGGAAGGGAAAAGTCCGTGCTGTTGGGATGCTCTTCAATGTGGAAGAGACCAAGAAACTGTGCTCACCAGCTGGGCAAGAATCACTTCAGTGATCCTCGTTTTCCTCAGCTGTAAGACGATGCAATCAGTCTGATCAAAGTCAGGGCAGAGATTGCTTCAGCAATCTATCTGACAGTGACTTTCAGGTTCCTCACGAGTTCTCCGTAAATTGAGCCTTCACCGTCTCCTCAAAGATTCCGAAAGATCGAAAACCGTAAGATGCTGCTACCATGTAACAGACAAGCACGAGGAGATCACGAGTGATGCTTTATTGTACAAATAAAGTGGGAACAATGCTGCGTAATAGCAGGGAAAGCAAGAACAAAGCACTGATGGCTAATAGCAAGTGATGCTAAGTGGGTTCTTGAGCGTCTGTCAAGGCGTGAAAGAAGTAACTGGCGGCAAGCACGTGGTGTGTGCCATCAGCTGTGTGATGATGCGCAGACTGGACTCAATCCAACGCGAGCGTATGAACGCTGAGTCATACTGCGAGAGAGGGACGAGAGAGCAAGTATGCTCAGTGTGTGCGCCGCGCATATCCGCTTCAGCGGATATGAGTGCAGTGCAGCAGCACACGTACGTACAGCGAGAGAGGCGATAACGGCAAGCATGAGTGCAAGTACGTCCATGGTGGGCCGTACGCACCAGGCGCAGTCGTGGGCCTCTGACATACGATTCATAATTATTATTAATTTTTCATGCGTCATATTTGTACCGCGCAGCTTGTCACCGCACACAAAATTATTGCATCTGCTTTTTATTCGCGTTAGTAGCAACAAAATTTTTCACACTTTCTACATAAATCGTGAGAAGCTACAACACAAGCGAGTTACACAACATCTACAAACACAAACAAAATTATTGTTGTACAGTACAGTACACTGACGGTGAGTAAGTACGAGTACTGTATTACTCGTATTACTCCTCTATGGCAAACCCGGTGTTGGCTTTAATCCATTTTCTCATAGAGAATCATGTTAAATGCAGAGAGTCCTATCATTACGTTGCAATCGAAATAAAAAATTTCATTTATACTGTCAAAAAATATATATTATTATGTATTTTTCAAGCCTATGGATACAATTTTTTCTAAAGAATACACAAACTTACAAATTTTCGAATATTTAAAATTTGCATGAAATTCGGCAACAGTCACCCTGAACAAAGTATTGCCAGACTGCCCGTCGCCTGCTCACCGCCTCCGTGTTTTGATCCGGTCGTGCAGCTCACGCAAATTCGAGATAAAAATTGCAATAAACTTATAAACGATACTCCTGCACTATAATACTGTATGTCTGCTCTCATACGATGTTCGCTTTTCAGGTTTTTTCATGTCAGATTGAAAGCTTCTCCTTGATGAAAAACTGACCGTCTCATCTCCGTTATTTTAATGTTTTCATAATTCTTTAGTCTTGCTTGTGTTATTGACAGTACTGTCTTGGGCATTTGTTGGGTGGATTGATGGAACTGCATGTACCATGGTGAAGAAATCCAAACGGAAACCCCGCGCCCCCTCCACCGAGGGGGCGCCCCCATCCCCCGCCGCCGTTGACGACGAGCCCCCCGCCGTCCCCGACCCGCACCCCGATGACGACGACGAGCCGCCCCTCGACCCCATCCCCTCCCCGCCCGCCTCCCCCGCCGAGGAGGGCGCCGTCCTCCAACGCGACGCCACCGTCGAGCGCCTGACCGCCGCCGCCGAGGAGGCCCAGGAGTACGTGGAGGATGTGCTGGACGGGGTGGCCGATAAGCCCGTGGAGAGCGGGGAGGAGGAGAAGGAAGAGGAGGTCTTCGAGGAGGCCGTGGCGATGAAGGACCCCGTGGACGGACCCGCGCCCCTGGAGGCAGTGGAGGAGAGTCCCGTGGGTTGCGAGGAGACGGTGGTGGGGGAGGGCAGCATGGCGGAGGGGTCGGGGCGGAAGAAGCGGAAGAAACGCGTCAGTTTCTGCGGGGAGAACGAGCATGATGTCGTCACGAAGTTCGTCGATGCACCCGATCCCTGGCGACACGGTCAGTGGGTTAAAGCGTACGAATTATTCAGCAGATAACGTTGTTTAATTTAGTTTGGTTTCTTGACTAATTTTTACAATTGCTGATTTGACGTTAAACCTGAATAATTGAAATGGAATTAGTTTTCATCATTATTTATTCGTCTTTTTATGACAGTAATCGTTAATGCCGTTAGTTTTGCCGCATTTATTGCGGGATTTCTTGCTTAATAACCGTGTGATTTTCGTGTTTATTTTGTCCGCCGAAAACCAAAATATATTACCAAGAAATTTCCATTAAATCCTTACACTGCCCTACATGAATATTCTTAATTAATAATAATCCTGATTTCTTGTACCGTGATTACGCAACTTGAAGTCGTTGCTGTTGACTTTTAATTCAGATATTTATTTTGCTGTTAATTTGCGCAGCTATAATATTATTGCGATGGATTTTTAACTGGATATTTATTTTTCCGTTAATTTTACCGTTATATTGCTGCCATTTTTTATTTTGTTGTTGATTTTCTTATTTAATTTGGTCTCTATATTGCTGTTTGTTATTTATTTTGCTGTTAATTTTGCCGTTATATTCCTGTGACGTTTTACTCATATTATGTATTTATGTATTAATTTATGATTTATTGTTTATTTCGCACTGCCAATCAGACCTGCTGTTGTTCAGTGTGACCAATTTTCTGTTGGTAAATTTGGTTTTTTTTTACAGCGTTTCCCATTGTATACACTTAATTTTCCACGGCTTAATATTTTCTTTATTTACAAGGCTTATTATTTTCTGAATATTTTTAATTTTATTATGTCAATAATTGTGGGATGGTTGTAGCGGATGAGAGCTCGATGCAGGATGTGCTGGAGGCGTATGCGCGCATGTGTCTGAGCAATAAAGTGCAGCCGCTGCCCAAAGTGCTGGAATCCATCAAGGTGCGTGTGCAGCACTTGTGGTCGCCTTTTTAATTTGATTAAATGACGGTTTTTCCGGCGGGTGGCCTGTGTAGCGTGTGTTTGTTGTGTCCATTAGCGCAATCCGGGACGGCGGCAGCGTGTCGGTGTGTTTGATCTGTCCGGGGAAAACATCGATCTCCACACCGTCGACACCCTCGAGTCCATCTTCCAGCGTATGTGCTTCGAGGAATTAAACCTCACCCAGTGCCTCACCGACGATGAGGTCAGCTAATTTTTATTTATTTCATTTTTCTACATTTTTTACATGTATTTTGTGTATTTTATTTTTATGTATTCCATTTTTTATTTTTTTTTAAATTCTGTAATATTTCTTTGTTATTTCTCAAGCGCGGGAGCAGATTTATTTTCATATGTCTTTTTTTTTCATTACTGACGGAACTAGCTTCCTGATTTTTTAATGAATTTTTATGGTGTTTGCCGAGATTTTAATTAATTTTAATTGATCTTATTAATGTGAAAAAAATGTGAATTTTATTCTTGATTTATTTCTTGTTTCATTCGTCCTTGTCAGTCGCTTGTTTCTGGATTGTATTGAAATTTTTTTCATTAATCGCGGAATTAGCTTCGTGATTTTTCTTCAATAAAATAGCCTGTATTTTATTTCTTGAATTTTTACCAGAACAGCGGATAAATTTTGGAATGCGATTTACTTATAAAATGTGAAGCAATTTTTATTGGATTAATTATTGTTTACTTGGATGAGGTGTTTTCGCGTGTGGAAACTGGGATAGACTCGGCATTTATGATTAGTTTGCAATGGCTTTTGCGGTCGACTGAGTGATGTTGGTAAAATAAATACAGCACGCCACCGGAAACGGCGGCTTACACGGGGATGAGCCGCAAATAAATGCGCCGTCGGCGTGACAGAAACGCGGCTTGTTTTGAGTGCGGGATGAGCTGCTTATCGGTTGTGTTGCAGCTGGCGGTGGCGTTGATGGATATGCTGGAGTATTACCAGTTCGCCGACCGGCTGGTCATGGCCGGCAATAAAAAACTGCAGTTCCGCGGCTGGCTAGCCCTCGCCAAAATCCTCAAAAAGGTATTCAGTTTTACAATGCTAGTACGTTGTGATTTTTTATTAGCGAATTCTTGGCTTTGCGCGTGGTCATATGTTCAGTTTTTAGCCACTGCACTACGTTTTGCTGCTTATTTGATATGTTGTCGTAGTTTTACGACGTAAATTGTTTGGCGCACTTTATTTACAAATAAATAATAATAGTTATTCAAATAAATAATAACAATAACTGATATAGCAAATAATAATTACAATAATAACTGCGTTGGTCCGCGGGTGTTTTCTTGAATTACCGTTGCATTGAGCATTGAATATTTATTATGTTTTATTTTTTAATGTTTTTCCAGTACTTAGTGAATTGTTGGCAATATTTTAACAGCTAGTTACCATGGACTGTTGCAATTATTTGCCGGCATTGGCACCAGAGTTTTCATTTTTATTATTGTTAATGTTGGATGGGACTTTCGCAGTGTTGCGTGTACTACCTGGATTTGCGGAACAACGCCCTGCAGGACCAGTATACGTCGTTGATTACGCGGGCGCTGCGTTGCGGCAGCAACATTGTCACCCTGCACATGGAAAACTGCAACCTCAGTGGCCGGGGCACCTTCCTCCTCAGTACGTCCTAATGCCGTTAATTTCCTTGGATCTTTTTCTAATTTCTCTTCTCCTTTCCTTTATTTTTTTATTTATTTCAATTTAAATTGTATTGCCTTTAACGCTGCCTATGATTCTTGTATAAAAGTATTTTTATTTTAGATTTCTTAGGTTTATTCTTATTACTTCGGAATTCTGTTTTCATCATCTGCTGAATTGTTTTTCCTTTTTAAAAATTTTCTGTTCAAACTGATTATTCTAATTGCTCGGTATATTTTTCCATTTTATTTAGAATTCGTAAATAAATCATTTTTATTTTCCATTTCTTATGTTTATTAATTAATAATTCTGACTTTATTACTGAGTCACTTCGTGAATTTTAACTTTTTTGTGTTGGTAAATAATGAGTTATTTGTTTTTTTTATATATTGCTGTTGAATTAATTTATTGAGAAAATGGATAGAAGATGAAAAAATCCAGTACGAATATGCGTGGAGAATTTTTTTTAATTAATTGTTTATATAAAACAGCGTAAATCTACTGACGAATATTTTTGTGTTTTATTCTGTGTTTAGTTTCGGCGCTGCAGTTCAGTGAGACGGTGCAGGAGCTGTTCCTGGCCGACAACCGTCTCACACCCACCGACATGATCCACGTGGCCTCCGCGTTGAAACACGGCTGGCGGATTAAACTGCTGGATCTGCGGAATAATTCCATCGCGGTACATTCTGTGTTTTCTCTGTTTGTTGTGCTCAAGTGCGATCATCACATTCCGCACGCATTATCCTAATTGAATTAATCGATCGATCTGGGACGTTGTGGATGCAGGATGTGGGCGCCAGTCATCTCTTCGACAGTCTGGATGACGACGGGAACGGCGCGCACTACGGACTGCGCGCGCTGGTGCTGTGGAATAATTATCTGACCGGGAATGTCGCCAAAAGCCTCGCCTCGGCGCTGGTAATTGTCATCGCATATTTTTTCACAAGGAGATTATTTTTATGAAAATTACGGCATTTGTAAAATTTAGAAAATTGCCTGCGTGGTGGACGATGGAAAATGCATATTTTATGGGCGCTTTCAGTAATTTTCTTGTATTTCTATCTTGAATGTTTCTATTCTTGTGTATTTTTTTCTGTTGTTTTTGCTATTATGTTTTTATATTTCTTCTATAATTTTTCTATATTTGTTCTGTATTTTTCCATATATTTTCTCTACATTTTTTTGACGTAGGTACCTGTTTTTCTGTATTTTTTCTGCATTTTCTTTACGGTTTGCTGACGTACCAGAATATTTTTAAAAATAAATTCTCATAATTCTCATCGTGGAGAAATCGGAGAAAATGTCGGTAATTTGTCCTTGATAGAATTTGTTAACGTTTTTACAAGCCAGTATGGGAATTTGAAATATTTTGTATTATTAGCGCTTTAATTAGTGGTATATTTTTTATTGCTTTTTTCAGTAGGTTGGTTGATTGTTTTTTTAAACGGCGGTTTTTTTTACTGCAGAACCGTACGCGCTCGCTGGAGACGCTGAACATGGGGATGAACGATTTGACGGATGATGCGCTGTTTGTGATAAAGGACGCGCTGATGCGCAATCGCTCGCTGCGCCGTCTCGGTCTGCAGTCCTGCAAGATTTCCAACGAAGGTAACACCAACTGTATCAACAGTAAATCGAAAAAATTTGAATGGGATTTAATTCAGTTGATTAATTAATTCAGTTAAATTTTATAAATTTTTTTCTTCTCCAGCTGTTAACAAATTACGGATGTTGTTCAGTGCTTTAAATTTAGACTTGATAAACTTGAATTAGTTATAAAATCCGGGTGGGTGTATTTGTACAGTACCGGCTAGTTATTATTATTATTATTATTATTATTATTATTGCAACTACAGTAGCCAAACTCCATTAAAGGAGACTTTAAAGGAAATTTGTAAAAGTAAAAAATTTTCAAAATTATCCTAAAAAAGCCAATAGCCTGGTAAGATATCTGCGTTAACGGAGTTTGTCTTCTGTGGAGTGATAATAATGATAATAATATTGAATAGAAAAATGCGAAGAAACTCGGTGTAACGAGAAAGTTGGGGAAAATGCGGTGTTGATAGGGTGTATTGCGCTGGCGGAGTACCTGGCGGATCATCCGCGCTTCCTGCGACTGGATCTGCGCAATAACGAGCAGATCCGCGCCGGCGGGTGGCTGGCGTTGGCCCACGCGACGAAGTTGTGCCCCGGACTGATCCGGCTGGACATGAGTTATGATGTGAAGGACGCCAAGCACATGGAGACGATTCGCGAGGCGCTGAAGATGATCCAGATGACCTGCATCAACAACATCGAGAAATTCGAGCAAGGCAGTGCGCCGCAGCCGTTGGACGGGCAGCCGGCCGGCCCGGAGGAGCCGCCGCCCCACACCGGTCAGTCACCGATTAAATATCGAGATTTTTTATGTAAAAATTTTAAAAAAATGTAAAAATGTTGTTTGTTGTGAGGTTGAATTTTTTCTCCTTTTGGCCTCGTTTTGTTGTCGATCTTTATATTGGGAAGACGTTGATCTTTATAAATTAAAGAAACGGAAAAATACTCGTAATAACATTAAACACCGTTGTTTTTTATAATGCAGGAATAATGAAAGTGATTTAAGGCGCGAACGATTAATTTCCGGTGTGATATTTATACTGAATAGTTTAATAAAAAGTATAAAAATTTTGTGAATTTTAGTAGAATTTTGGCGTACAAGAACGTTAAATTATTATGAGATCTTTCTAATTTCTGGAAATTTTTGTAATTTGGATTTTTTATGCGTGTTTTTTTGTTGTGTACTCGTATGAAAATTAATTGTTATTTCTTTCTCTAGAAGCCCAGCTGGTGGACGACGTGGTGGAGCTGGAGGAAGAACAAGAGCCCCCGGCGCCGATTCTGGACCTGGAGGACCCGGCCGGGGACTTCCCGGAGTTCCTGGGCAACACCGCCACCTCCGCGTCACCCTCCTCCCTGGACATCGACGTGCCCAAGAAATGTCGCCCCGCCGGCGGGATCCGCCGCTTCTCCATCACCAGCGTCATGGCCACCGGCCCGCTCTCCGTCCAGGACCGCCTGCACGAGGAGCTCTTCCCCCTGCGTCCCGCCCCGCCCGCCTCCGTCTTCCCGGGCGGTCCGGCCGTCGTCAAGGGCCGCTTCCAGATCAGTCTGGTCAAGGCTACGGAAAAAATCTACAACAGCATGCAGTCGGTGCTCAGCCCGACCAACGAAGCCTCCCCGACGGTCTCCAAGGGCTCCCCGCCCGGTGGGACCGACCCCAAGCCCGGGGGGTTGTTGAGCTCGTGGAAGAACACCTTCCGCCGCAACAGCAAGGATACCATGGTCCCCGCGGAGGTCCCGAAGCCGGAGCGGGTGGAGAACGTCAAGGAGGAGGAGTCGGGGCGTCTGGAGGACCTCCAGATGCTGCTCCCGGCCACCCACGCCTTCGGGGATGGGATGATGTTCTGAGGAGGGACGTCCGCCATGATGTAGTCAGGGTAGCTCGGGCAGGGACCAAAGGGACGCCCGCCGGAAGTCCCGGTGGAGGCGGGGAGGACGTCCCGTTGTTGTTGTTAGTTTTCCCGTTTTTTTTGGATGTGGCTGGCGCATTCCGGAGAGTGTCGACGGGGGAGTGGGGGGCGCGGAGACTGCCTTAATTTAAAATCCTTTATTTTTATTCGTTTTCCTTCCCAGGGCTGTTTTTATCGTTGGTGTGTGATTTTTTGCTTTGATTTTGTGTGGCGTTTTTTGCAGTGGAGTTTTGGTTGTTTTTCAGTGTGTCTTGTACAGTATGTCATGTTAATGGTTGATTGTTGTGAAATTTTTACCGATTAAATTATCAGGAATTGAGATTTATGTGGCTATCAGAAAAGTTTGCGAAAGGAATATTTAAAAAAAATTTAGGAAATATAAATTTTTTAGATGATGATAGTAGTAATTTCTAATTTTATCAAAACATAGTAAAAATGAAAACTTGAAAAAATAGCAACATATAAATTTTAAAAAATATGAAACTTATAAATTAAAAAATAATTCGAAATAATTTTTAAAAAAATAAAAATAATTTACAATAACTGATACTGGATAAAATATTCCCAAAAATTGAGAAATGTTGGGAATAGTCTTGGAACATTTCTGTAAAATAAACCATTCGTACCACAATTATGCCCTAAAATTGTAACGATTAGGAAGCACCGGTAACTATAATATTATTTTAAAATTTACAAATTGTACTACAAAGTATTTTCCAATCGTCATTTTGCGTCTTGCCGGTTTATTTGTCGTGAAATGCGAAAGTGTAAAGCGCTTCATTGAAAATTTTCCGTTATATTGATGACGAATTACGTAAAGTGCCATAAAACAGGAAAATTACCGGGTTTGTACAAAAGTTATAGCTCATGTTTCATTAGTAATACACAGTCAGCAGGCGAGAAAAATTTACCGCTTGTTGCAGCAGCGGCTGTTTTGAGTGTGTGTGTTCCGCGGAGTGTTTGCTCGGACCCGGCATTGTTGACTTTTTATTTGTGCCGGGTGCGTAACACGGGGTTCGGCGCGGAGCGGCGCATCACACAAGGTGTGATGGATGGCATCATGGCACAGCCACTCGATGCAAGTATATTCTGATTAATTCGCGCATTTATTTGCGAATTATTTGACACTTTTTTAGAGAATGATCTAATAGGCATATTTTTGCATAAGTGTTATCGGCCCGGTAAAATCAGCTTTACGTCATCGGCTTCGAACAACGTACACCACACAACGCTTGTACGTACGCGGGTGCAGACTGCACTTTACGAGTTATCGTTAATACCATTAAATTTTAGTACGCAACTCGTACAACTTGTTCGTACGTCTTGTAACTTTTAAAGCCACGGTGCAGCGAGTGCACCGCGAGAGCAAAAGACGGATTTAAATCCCCTTATCAGCACGCGCAATCTTCCGAACTTTTCCTTTGTCTGTCCACTCGCGTGTCCAGCACCCGATCACTGAAAATAAATGTTATTTCTCATCGGTTTAATTTGATGAAAATTATCTAAAAGCAAACAGGTTGTATCGTGTAAAACAGCACAGACTTATGCAATCGCCACAAGGGAAATTTTTTCTAAGCGATCATTACCCAGCAATTATTCCGTAACGGCTAATCCAGTCAAGTTTTTCAGTACCAGACCGAGAAATTTTGAAAAAAGCCGTCGGTTCGCACTTTGCACAAGACCCCGCCTCCGCCCGCTTGATTGTGTAAGCGATACACACGTCGATTGGTTGATTCGACAGCTCGGTTTCGGTCCGGGTTAGATTGAATAATAACCGCATGACTCACTGATTTTTGGCGCTGGTCGATATTTTTAGCCAGTTCTTCAACAACAAAAAGGATATTCTGGGCTGTTTTGCAACTTTTGTTGTGGTTTTTTCCTCTTCCTTGTCGACGCGGGCCGGATGAGAGTGCTGGGATCTCCGTGCAGTGGGATTTCTGAGTTGTACCGGTGATTGTGCAGTATTTGGCCTGATTATTTTGAAAATGACCGTTTCCTGGCGGCGAACACTGAAGCGCGCTGTGGGCTTCCAGCATGAGTATATTCGGTGCTTTTTGGCGGAGTTTTTCGGTTCATTGGTTCTGGTGGTAAGTCAACAATTTACATTTTTAGAGCACTTACTCGACTGCGCTTCCGGTTTTCCTAAAGTACGTGCTTGAAGTTTTTCACTAAAAGCGGAAATTTCAAAATTTATAACGCGACAGAACGTGAAAATTATCCTTTGTGTTAAGCCTGGACATACAGGATATTCGCAGAGTGAGCCGAGTTTTTAAAACGCAGTTGAGTGGTAATGGTTACTACCGGGACTTTTTTGGCGCGCTGCAATTTTAACGATACTTTTTTATCTTTAAGATGTTCGCATTGCTTCGGGCAATTTGATGAAATTATTTTCTGAATTGTGCTCGCGGATAAATTGTTAAGCTTGCTGTTTGCGGTGAAAGTATCAGACAGTGTTCGTTGAGAATTTACGAGATATTGCACAGTCTTCAGTCTGTCTGGAAAACGGAATCGCAAACGGTTGAAACTTGAAAGCGCCAAATTATGCCGAATTAAGAGTGTAATTAAGTTACAAAATAATTAAACATGGATTTTTCATAGTGCTGGCGATTTAATAATATTATATAATATAGAATAATAAATATATTATGAGAATATACGGGTAAACCGGAAAACCATTAAAAAAGTCTCCGCTATTGGCTGTTTCGCTCCTATACAGTAGAAGTATGGTGTTAAATTCTAAATTTATATGTGTTGCGAAATTTATTTCATAACAGAAAAATTCTTTAATCTACCTACAGCATTATATTAACTTGATGCTATTAATGGTTTTTAAATTGATTTTTGTGAATACGGTAGGTTAGTTTCGATAAATTTGTGTGATTTAAACTTTTTTCTTTATTTATTTTCTTTTTTCTTTGCCTTATTTTTTTATGTTTTAACTGTCGTGAATTAATACAAAGCCGGATGTACAGGAAATGGCAATACTTTTAAAAATTTATATAACGATAATAATTCGAGTAAATTTTCCGATTTGTACTCGTAGTACATGATTGACGCCATGGCGGCACACGCCACCTTCAACCGGCTGCGGGTGTCGTCAGTGACCGGCGAACGCCAACCAGTGCAGCTGGTATCCGGCCCGGATCACACCCATCTCATCATCGGCGCCGGTCTGGCCGTCATGATGGGCGTCCTGGTGTGCGGCGGCGTCTCCGGTTCGTACACACTTCCGGTTTACAGTGTTACTTATTTTTTTATGAATTTTTTTACGATTATTATTTATTTTAATTTTGTTTTGGCAATAACCGTAACCAGTAATTCCCGCTTTATTTTCCTAGTAAATTTTATTTTATTAAATATATTATATTTAATATATAAGATATATTATATTTAATATATTAAATTTTATTAATTTTATTTTGTTTTATTTTATTTTAGTAAATTTTAAATTTTATTTTATTTTTTCGATGATAATTTGTATGTATGTGACAAACAGTAGTTTAATTTTATTTTTAATTTGGAAATAATTTATTTATTTCATCGTGGATGTGTCTCCAGAAAAGGCAGGCGCATTTTAAAAATAGCGGGTAATTACTTTGACGGTTCGGTGCAGGTGCCCATCTGAATCCGGCCGTGTCGCTGGCCTTCGCCGCGATGGGGCGCATTTCCTGGAAGAAGATGCTGGTGTACATGGCCGCGCAGTACATCGGCGCCATGGTCGCCTCGGCCGGCATCTACGTCATCTATGTCGGTCAGTACTGTCCGCTGTCCAATTCGGTTTAAACCGCGTCAAAATTTTCTTTCACGTTTATTGCGCTACTTCCGCCGCGGATTTTGTGGTGATTTTTTTTGTATATTTGCGTTTTTTTATATGTAATTAAGCAATAAATGTAGAACATACGTGTGCTTAATAGTGCTGATTTTATTCAGGTTTTGGTTAATTTTTTTTCATTCCATTTGAATTATTGTGCTCTAATTACCGTAAAAATAAGCTTACCATTAGCGATAACTATGTATTTATGTCGTTTTTCATGTAAGAAGATGTGGTGTGCCCACATTTCGTCAGGAAAATTCGTTGAAAAATAATTGTTATTTTTCTTGGGGCCGTTCTATATTATGCATAATTTTGATCGAATACATTATAGAAATGCTGTTTAATTGCGAAACAATTGTCAATGTTGCCGGCACATGTCGTGTAGATACATTCAGCCTGTTCTCGGCCAGCCAGAGCAATATCACCGCCGCCATCTTCGCCACCTATCCCACGCCGCACATCAGCTGGACGACGGCCTTCTTCGACCAGGTAACACCCGGCATTATTCCTTTTTTAAAAGAATTATTATTATTTTAATAGTATTAATTATTATTTGATCCCAGTGTTTTGTTTGATTATTATTCTTGTTGAATTAATTTTCTGTTGATGAGAATGAACAGTAGAAATAGATTGCTGTATAGATCGTGGCGACGTCGGTGCTGATGTTCGGCGTGCTGGCCATCATCGACGAGAAGCTGTGGCACATTCCCAGCAGCATGGTCCCGCTGTACATTGGACTGCTGATCTCGGCCATCGTGGCCTGTCTGGGTTATAACACCGGCGCGGCCATGAACCCCGCCCGGGACCTCATGCCGCGATTGTTCACCTACCTGGCCGGCTGGGGCGAGGAGACCTTCAGGTGGGTGCCGCAACTGACCGCGTTCCAAGGGGCGTATTCATTCGTGGCAAACAAATTGTCAGTTTGATTCCAAAATATTCGGCGGTGGATTTTGTGGGGTTTCGTTGATTTATTTTGTTATTTCTTTTCGAGTTTGCTTGTCGACCCGATATATTTTGCATATATTGATTTATTGACGTCCTTTTGAAATTTTTGAGAAATTCTTTAGCTGGCGAAATTATTTATGTAAACGAGTAAATATTTTTTTTCAGAATATAAGTCTGTTTTATTTTTGATTTTAATTGAAACTGTCGATCTGATTTTCAAAAAAAATGTAATTTTTATTTTGGATTAATACTGCGTAAAACGTATACGTAAAACTGTATCTGAAGAAACTGTATTTAATTAAAATTGCATTTCATCGTGATTAATTCAGCTGGATATTCGCCAGCCACAGTGTGATCGCTGTTAAATTATTGTAATTAATTTTGAATTATTTTTATAAAATTAGTTTTTTTCCGCTAATTTTCTTTATTTAATTTTTTGCTTAATTGATTATTGTTCGAACAGTACGCCGAACTTCAACGGCACGTATAAATGGTTCTGGATCCCCATTGTGGGCTCGCATCTGGGCGCCTTACTGGGCGTGCTTATCTACCAGTTCTTCATCGCCGCCCACTGGCCGGATGACCTTTTAGTCAAAGGCCAAGAGGTGCGCGGCGCCTCCGACCTGGACAGCGTCGACCTGGCCACATTACGCACCACGCCCTCCCGCAGCACCCCCGCGCCCATCTTCAAGCCCAAATACAACGACCTTGGTGTGTCCCCGGTCAATTCCGACGCCAAACGCGGTTTGTTGGAGTCGCCCTGATTTTTATCCGGTTTTTATGGATTATCACGCCTCGGTGCTGTTTTCAGAGTATTTTTCTAATTTATTATTCGCGATGTTTTTGGCCGCTTTTTGGGTTTGACTTGCTAGTCAATTTTGGATTTTTTATTTGTTTAAAAAAAGATGAATAGACCGGTGTTTCAGAGATGGAATTTATAAAATATTTTTATTGAATTTGTTTTCAATTTTATGAATTCATTGGCCATTTATTTTGATGGTGGACGTGAGTCACGTGATTAAACCAATTATTTCTGTCCGTAATAGAATGTCCGAATTATGCGATCACCAACGACGATTGGCTACGAGTACAATATTTTTATGATTTTTCGTTGTTGTCGGGAAGTTTTTAAAGAAAAATAAAAAAGCCATAATTATAAGTATGTAAACATATTCAATAATAAATGAATACAGTAATAAAATAAAACACAAAATACAAATAAATAAACAAACAAATAAATAAATAAACACAAATAAATAAACTTAATAAAACAGACAAAATTATTTGGATAACGACAATAAAAACACCATAAAAAACCACAAAACCATAAATGCCGAGAAATTAAACTACAGAAATTTACAACCATAATCCTAAGAAAAAGTAATACTCGTGTACCTTATAAACGGCCATACCATTGTTACAGAATCACTCTGGGATTTTTATTGAATGGTATGTTCCATAAATTGCCGATAAGTGATAGATTTATTCGCAATTAATTGGCGAATTATTCTGATTAGAAACTGGGGAAGGATTGTGTGCCGGTTATAAAGTGTCGGGATCGACGCGGGTTTTGGCGGTGTTTTCGTTGGTGATGGTGAAGAGTTCGGCATCTGCCACGCGCATCCCGCGCAATCGGCCGCATAGAATACGCCGGGCACCGCGCCGGTATTCCTCGTTCAACGCCAGATACACCATCTATATAGATACTGAGATACAGCACCCGGCTCGTTAGATAGATTTATATATTCCTCATATTAATACACCAAAATATTAATACATTGAATACTAGGTATTTGATTATATAGACGCCAGTAATAAGGTCAATTAATTTCATTCTGACTATTTTATAAAAGAATTATATGACTGAAAAAATATAATATTATAAAACATTTCTGAAGTATTCCATGTAAACAAAGCTCGACAGTATGTACTCGTAGGTAGCTGAATAACCATAATCGTACACATACGTAGGAAAGTTTACTTCAGAGCGAAGTGACCTTCTTAAATCGACCAGCAGGCTCACATACAATAAAGCTGCGTTGGTGAAAATTATTAATTTAATTTTCTTCGTATTCATTTATTGGTTGTATCGAATACTTTCTGAACTATTTATTAATAATTTTCATTCATTTTTCGTCGTGTAGGTAATACATCTAATTTATTAAATATTTTTATTGATACAATTCGCTAATTTATTCCTTACTATTAACAGTACATAATATACTAATTTTAATTTTCTTTTTTTAATTTTCCGTTTACTGTGTAAGAAATCAGTACGTATGTATCATTAATTTCGTATTTACTGAAGAAATTACCGGCGCGATCATATAGCCAAACAGCTCCAGCGTCACGGCCAGCAATCCAATCTCCATACTCTCCCCGGCGGCGTTGACCCCGAACATGCCGGTCAGCAGCGGCACCACCGCATAACAGACCAGACAGGACAGATACGACAGACACAGCATGCGCGCCACGTTGATCTTGCGCCGCAGCCGCTTCTTCGCCCGCTCCCCGCCCGCCGCCTGGCTGTCGACCCCCGCGGGGCGGCTGGTTAATACGATGAAGAGAACCAGGTAGGCGGTGCCCTCGAGGATCACCGGCACCCCCAGGCCCACGCTGACCATGGCGTACCAGGCGTGGTCGTGGAAGGGCACCACCGTGCACAGATTGTACGGAGGTCGGACGACGAAGCGGGCGCCCACGCCGAAGAGCGCCGGGGCGTAGGCGCTGCTGCCGATCAGCCAGCTGGTCAACATGGTCAGCATTAAGGCGCGGCGGGTCGTCAGGTACCTGCCGGAAATGAAAGGTCACGCAAAACTTAGCCAAACGAATGAATGTTTTAATAATAATGTTTACCTATTTGAAAAATGCTCGTTTGCATATAAGACTTATGAATTGCTGTTCAATAACGGATGTTACAGTACTCTCGACTCACGATGTCTCCGTTTTGTATAGTCTTTCCATGCAACACTATAGGGACGTCACGTAATTCAATGAGTTCGGTCTTTTAGGCCTAATGAACCGTCTGAACAGCTCGAACCCTTCTTTGGGTACTCCAGTAATCGCAATCAGACGGTTCTTTGGAAAGCCAGACTTATTCTTTTTTCTTAAAGTCCCAAATTTGATTTTGTTTTGATTTAAATTTTAATTAGTTTTCTGAACTCGTTTCGACATTGCGAAATAAAATTCATTATTGTCGTCGTGGAACGGATTTAAGAAACTGAAGTTTAAACTGTGATATCTGACGAAAAAAAACTGAACCGTTACTGTTCAACGCGCTCGAAAACCGATCGTTAGCCGTTACATTGACGAGTATTACAGTCAATCACGCTCATTGGTGGATTTATGTTCACCTGATTCAGCGAATTTTTTGAACCGCGTACAGTGCTTGACTGGCTATACTTTACAAAACCGGGACATATTGAGCCGAGAGTACAGTAATGTTAGTGGTCAGTGCCTGACGGAAGTGAAAGGTCACACACTAATTATTCAGGTCAAAAGTGTAATTATTACTCACCGATCAAGAATTGGGTATCGTTTCAAAATATAATTACAGAGAAACAATTTATTAAATAATTGAATTATTTTTAGTTTCAGTCTTCATACATGGCAAATATAATCATATAAAATTTTTTTGTAATTTAATGGTTTTCTTATTTGTTACCAGACAAAATAGCATATTTCTTATATAGAAAATGTGAGAACGTTTTGATGAGACACAAACATCAAGTATTTTAGCAATGGCAGTTGATATATCATGACATTTAATAATCAATTGGTAATCAAAACTAAATACAGTATTACAGAGTAAATACGATTATTGATTTATTTATCGACAAAAGATTTATTAATGAAAATACTTTTTAAATGTACGGAAAGTAAGATTATAATCGGCACATATTATATCGTTAATCGTACCTTCATGTGCTTTTTAATTGTTATCTTATTTAACTGCATTGATTTACCATGAACTCCAGTTTTCAAAATAATTATGTCAAAATGCATTTTAAAAGAAGCAGAATAATTTTGTTGTATTATTGAAAACTTGGGTTATTGTAAGAATTTCGAAACAAAAAAATTTTGTAAGGATTAGAAGAATGTTTGAGCTCCAGATACTAGCTGTACACTGTAGCAAGTGAATTTAAACCGTCAATTTAATAAAGGTAATCGTTACCAAAAATAATCGTTGTTAATCGTAATAATTATCAAATAATCGCCGGTAATTCGTTAAATAATTGTTAAATAATTAGTGCTTGTTAAATAATTACCGGTAGAAACTGGGGAAGAGGATGGCGACAAAGCGGTTGAGCGCCAGCAGCGCGGTCGCCCAGCAGTTCGTATACCACACCGCGATGGGCAGGAAGGCGTCCAGTGGACACAGCGAATGCAGCACGCGTCCGTTGAACATGAGGAAGACGTCGATGGTCACCGCGGGAAAGGTCACGGCGCAGGCGAACAGATCCAGGCACAGGAGGTGCACGATGAGGACGGTGGCTCCCTTCCGCCATTTGTGCTGCGTCAGGACGATGCTGGCGATGAGGAGGATGCAGAGAAAACTGCTGATGATACTCAGGCTGACGGTCAGTCCGAACCAGGCGCGGAGGAAGGAGTGCGACAGACTGATGTTGACCAGGCTGAATTCCAGTGATTCGTTCGATACCGTCACGTTCATCGTGTGGTGTAAATTAAATTAAGCAATTAAGGGAGAAAATCAGGGCGGCGAACGTGGCGCTGCATATATGCAAATAAAAAGCGATGACCTTTGCCCGCAATTAAGACATGGGGACATTGCATCGGTTACCGTTACGTGCAATGCCAGTTTCAGTTAAACATCTCAAAACAAATTGACGAATTAAACGTATCTGTATACTGCAGCGCAGCCGCATATATGAGCAACTAGAAGACGGTGACCTTTACAGGCAAATATACGGTACCTAGATATGACAAACAAACTAAACAAACCGCAATCAAAACAATACTATCATGTATAAACAACTTAAAATACTTCTATAAAAAGTGCGAATTTTTACCTGCAAATAAAAAAAATTTAACAAAAGTAAGTAAAAACCGTTTAAAAAAACAATTTCAAACTAAGTCCAGAGACAATAAAAAATGTAGTTAAAAATTCCGTTTCCAAGTTAAAGTCGCGTGTATGCTTCAACAAAATCATTACCTTTACAATGTAAACAAAAAGCAATTAAACAAAAATAAATAAAAAAAAATGAACTATACAAAAACGCAATATAAACTAAAATCAATAAAAATGTAGTTTAAAAATCAGTTTGTGACATAAGATCGCATTATGGTCGGTACCCGCGTTTATGCTTATAAAAAAAGTGACCTTTCCCGGTAATTACAGTACTAAAGAGAAAAGGCATTCTCGAGTTTTGTAAAAGTGTCTTTGATTGTACCGTTTCTTGTCGGTTTTTCGGATAACAAACTTTTCGCTGCACGCGTGTGTTTGTTTTGCGTATATATGGAGATTTGTTGGTTTTGCCGGTATCGCATGTTTTTTCCATGCAACATTATCCGGTGTATCGATTCGCTTATAAACGATATTCCCGGATTTTCCGATGGACATTATTTAAGTCAATTTGTCACTGCCGGCAAAGTGCTCACATGGTGCAAATGTAAATCAGCTTCGCCACGTTAAATGTGTCGTTTTAACGGCGATACAGTTACGAAGCAGTTTTCAACAGTCTTCGCATTTTTCTCCGCGGAAAATAAGACAGGGAAATTTGACAGGCGAAGCGGTTTGCAATAAAGCCTGCACAGCGTTATTTAATGGAATTTCGAGAAATAATGCATAATTAACGAAGTACACTTTTCCAACAAAAATCGCGGCTGATGTGTTGGTCGAAGATCATTCGGCGATCGATACAGTCGCTGTTTCACAGAATTATAGTGATCCAGTATAGTGAATTGAACATTATACGAAAAGTAAAATGGTTTCGCTGAAATTATTCGCATGCGTTGTAGTGATCATTGCCGGTAAGTACAACTGTGTGGCGAAATTAATTTAACTTTCAAAATTTTGTTACCTTTTGGTTTGTCATTATACTTTATGCTCTTCGTTTTTTTTTAAAATTGCTCATGTTTTTGCTAATTTATTGCGAATCCATAAAACAACACAAATTCAATAACGAAAAAATGGACATTATAAACTTTCGTAAAATATGTTATATTCAATAAGAATTTCCACGTTTCAAATTTTTGATGTATGTTTTTTTATTAAAATATGAAATGTTTTTGATCTCTTGTTTACGATTTCATCATTTATCAAGAATCTGTTAAAGACAGCAAAACAAAAAAATTGAAAAATGTATATCTGTAATAAATTTATTAAAGTTCCACCGTTAAAATTTTTAATTAGTTTTTTGTTATAATACTATGAATTTTTCTTTTTTTCTCAAATGAATAATTTTATCATTAACCATAAACTAATGAAGCATTGCGAAATAAGTGAATAAAATAGTATTTTGCTTGAATTAAAAACGGTAATAATTATTTTTAAAATTAAAAATTAACATAATAGACAGGAATGATTAAAATAATAGAAAAAAATAGTGAAAAATTAAAATAATAGACAGCATTTTCTGGCATCAGTCTTATCATTGATAAAAACTTCCAAGAAAATTGCAAAATGAATAAATAGAAAAAAAAACTAATTTTAATCGATTCTGTTAGTTAAAAAGCCTAGCAGTTATTTTCAATAGCGTAAAAATAATTAAAAATAACAAACGGCATTCTCTGGCGTTAGTGGTGGAGTTGGCGGCCGGTGGCACAACTTCCTCGCGGAAACCGGCCGGCCGCAAGACGACGACGGCGCCGGCCAGCCAGAACAAATCGAACCGCGCCGGGGAAACGCGCTCGGCCGGCCAGATGATGAGCGTCTTCGTGGGGACGCCGGTGGCCGGGAAGGGACGTCGGCGTCGCCAGGCGGAACCGGAAGAGGCCAACCAGCTCAACGGCCACATCGTCTTCGCCGGGCGCTCCAAGCGCCAGACCAACACCGGCAACACCGGCTACGGCCAGACTGATATCGGCTTGATGCGGCTGTTTAAGCGGGCGCGATTAAAGCCAGCAGCGGACAAAACGGTCAAGCGGAGGCCAGCGGACAGCAGTCGCATCATCATAGCCACCATCACCATCGCCATTAAAACGCTGTTTTTAATATACATATCCTGATTATTGGCAAATCAAAGGAAAATTATTTTATTTATTAGAATAATTTATTTGACGCAGTGTCATGTGAAAACGCTGATCAGAAAAAAAAAACGTCAGATGATTTTAGCCGCTGGGTGAATTGAATTTCATAACGGGACTGGTCAGCGTTATTTTGTGTGTGATATCAAACCTTACTGCGCGATGCGGCGAAGGGTATAATTTATCACGAAAAAGTTTGCAGATCTTGCCATTTTTAAACCGGTGTTCACAATTATTATTCGAAGTACCCATAATACGGTAAAGTTTTACGATACGCCAGTCAAGGCGCGCATTTGTTTCAAGTTGGAAGACCGAATTTGACGAATTTATTTATATCATCTGATTACGCCGCCTATGTGCACCTCTTCAGAACCAGTAATGTAAACAATTCATGACTCGAAAACGAAAAATTTTAATGTATTTATTTTAATACGTAATTTATTTTAAACGAAATTTATTTTTATAACGAAATTTATTTTAATACGTAATCCTTCTGTGTCAGATAAATGACAGGAAAATATTACAATTTACATATTTGTTATGCGGATGCGCCGTAATGCCTTAATATTCCTGATATATTTTATTTGATCGTTTTTTATTATGTATTTTTTATTTTTGACATGTACCCGACTTGGCATTCAGCGCTGCAAATAACAATTCGATAATAGTTTTAATCACGGATTACATACATAAAGCGGAGCATGCAAGTATTTTTTACGGTACAGGAACAGCATTTTAAATATCTGTGTGTGGTATGAAGCTTTTTTATAATAAATACTTTATTATGCTGAACAATAAAGACCAGCATTACTGCAGTATCTCAACAAAAAAATCTAACATTTGTGAAAAGATGTCGGATATATACGGCAATAATTAGAGAGGAAGGATGAACGTCGGCGGATATGCTGCGGATGTGGATGAGGCGTTTCTACCAGGGCCACCAGCGCAGACTGCCCTGCTGCTCCACCGGCTGGCCGTCGGCGGTGTCGCGCACGAAACGCGCGGCCGCCGGCTGCTCGTGGACGGCGAAGCGGCTGTCGCGCTTCTCGCGGCTCAGGCGGCGGTTCGATTCACGACGACGGCTGGCGTCCGCGTCGGCCACCAACAAACCTATAGACAATTCACAACATTTTACATCTCCCGATACGTACAACAAACATCTGAAACGATAAGGAAAAATATAAATAAAAATGTAAAAAAATAAATTTAGAAAATTGTTAAAAAAAATTTTAAAAAAATTGTAATGCAGAATTTTTAACTGCGCCTAGCAGACATAATTATAACAGCAAAGCAAAATATAATACTGGTAAGAATACTCGTTGAAATAATCGTAATATTATTGTTATTTTCTAATTTAATTCGTCGCTGAAATTTTCTAAACCTGCAAGCTGCGCATTATTACGGTTCAATTTCCGGCTTCTATTAAAAAATAGTGTGGTTACAAGTTTAGATAAAAAATATGCAGAATTTTTGAAAAATCATGCTTTTAAATAAATAAATAAATATAATCATTTTTAAATAAGTCGGAGCAGAGTACATAGAAATAATTAATTAATATTTGATAGCTTCTGCGAGCTTACCGACAGCGAAGACAAGGACAAGAATCCAAGTGAAAAACTTGGCCATGGCGAGATTGGAAGGAAAACAAAGAAATCCGTGACAATAATTCCACGTCCGCGTTTGACCTTTTCTACGCTCCGTTCTCCTCGTAACAAATGCCGCTGACAAGGAAGCCTGGCAATATTTTATGAAAGCGGAAATTCCATCGTCATCATCGCATGAAAAAATCGCCGGTGCCGGCATATTTCTCAAGTGCCCGGCAATGCTCAAAAATCGCCAGCCACTCGGAAATTCCAATCAGCCATCGCGTGATACACACGCTCAACGCGCTGACGGCAAATTTAGCCGAAATATAGTAGCGCGCCGAGGCTGGCGGGACAACGTTCCCACGGTAATTCCTCGCAGCGGCGTACGAATATTCCAATAATTATAATAAATTATCAATATAATTTTGGTCCAAATATTTTCGCACAATAAAGTCTATCCATCGTTCAGTAGCGAGCCGAGGGTGTGGTGGAAAACCTTTCCCACGGTGATACTCCATCGCGGCGCGGAGTTTTGCGAGAAATTTTGGTCCAGCTATATTTGCGCATTAAGGAAATTTAATCCCCTTCGTGATTGGGATCGAGTCTTGTCAATATCGCTCGTGAACGAGGAATTCCCAGTAAGCACGAGTCATAAGCTTGCGTTGATTACGCCACATTTAGTAGCGCGCTAAAGTTCACGGAAAGCTTTCCCATCGCATTTTGCTGTATTTTTTGGTCCACATAATATTTATTTGCGCAGAACAGGAGTAGCGAGCCGAGGTTGGCGGAAACATTCTCCCACGGTTGAACCTCACCGCGCCAAGGTTTTATCGCATCAAGACACGATCCACACAGCTGCGGGCGATACGCACAATCGCCAAGCGTAGATCCTTCAAACACAGGACGAAGAAGATGGGATCCAGCGCCGGCTGGATCAATGCCAGGATCGCCGTGACCAGCGAGGCTTGTCGCAGATCCCCGCCCACACCGGCAAGCATCAGCAGCGCCACGATCTGCCCCGGCGCGAAGGATACCATGATCCCCACCGAGGATAACGTCAGCACGACGAACCCGTGCGAATGCTCCTTGCGGGCCGGGTGCGCGCCGGTGACCTTGGAATCCATCACCGAGTCCTGTTTGGAGCCGTGGACGGCGCCTTTGCGCTGGTGCTGTTTGTGGAAGAGGAAGGGATAGGCGCCCACCACGAAGACAATCGGGGCGATGTAGATGATTACCTAATGAAGATAAAAAAAAACACTATGTTAATCTGCCCATAGCTTGTTGGTGCCGTGTGACTTCAGAACTGAATCACTAGAATTCAATTCCTAGGATGGCTAACTTTCATCTCGAAAAATTAATCAATCATTAATACGTAAAATTTTCAAAATCTCGGAACTTCTAATTAATCATTTTTCCAGAATTATTACCATATTAAAATTTTTGAAAATTATTTGCAAATTACCACTAATACGTATTTCGAAATTATTTGCAACAACAAACAAAAAAATTCCCGATTGCCTAATAAAGTTATCTTTGTTAAAGGAGTTCTCTCGCCTTTAGAATAGAAACAATAACTAAGGCCTCGTCCCGAATTCAAAGCGAATCTCGCTATGGTACGGTTGCTCAACCGCACGAGGTGGCTGTATGCAGTGGCCACGCCTACAGATACGGTACGCGAAGCCACCTCGCGAGGTGGAGTTGCTGTATCGCAACGAGATTCGCTTTGAATTCGGGACGAGGCCTAAAATGGCAAAATAAAAATAATAATATTATTACGATGCCGGAAAAAAGATTTAAAATCCGCCAGCCGGTCCGCAGTTCCAAAAACTGAATAATAAAATCAATAAACAGCGTGCAACAGAAACACATCCAATGCGCATAAATTGCCGGCACCGGGTTCGAACAGAGAAGTGCTTGCCTGCGCCAGTACGCGTTAATACTATACGCCTCTGTACTATACGCCTCTGAACCGTTGTTGTCCTACATTTTTATCTGCTTCCTGCTGCAGAGATAATATTATTAAAATTAAAAATTATAAAAACAATAATACTTAAATAAATACTGCTTACCTCCGAGGCCACCGCCCACGGGAACTGCCGCCCGATATCCAGACTACACAGTTTAAACCGGTCCACCGGCGGCCGATAATACAACGCATCAATAACCACCCCCGGCAGGCACACTAAATGAACATACGCCACACAGCCCCCGCACAACAGCAGCGCCACCCGCGTGCTGTGGTAGTTGCGGTAAGACAGCGGGAAGGTGATGGCCCATAGACGGTTGAAGGTGATCAGCGCGTGCGACTGCATCAACACCCCGCCGAAGACGAAGATGAAGTAGTTGAAAAGGTCACAGGCCCGTTCGCCCAGCCACCAGGCGTGGCTGTATAAATGGCTGATGATGTCCAGCGGGTAGAAGACGGAGGCCTGCAGGAGGTTGGAGGTGAGGAGGAGCAAGAGGTAGACGGTGAAGGGGGTGTGGAGGTGCTTGTCCAGCAGGAGGACCACGGCGATCACCAGGTTGGATACGCTGCCGATGAGGCACGCGGCCAGTTCGCAGATCTGCATGGGGTGCCAGGTGGGCGGGCCCACTAAGTGGGTGGCGTTCATGGCGATGCTGACGTTCATTTTCAAACGTAAATAATTATTTTTCACTGCTAGTAATTTAAAATTTAATTTTCTCAGTAATTAAAATTTTCTTAGTAATGATAAAACACAAAAAGAAAATATTTAATATGAACATAAAAATATGAATTTCCAATTTTCCACTGAGAAATGATTTCTAAAAAAATATATGCAATGAAGGCGCCATTCTATATAAAAATCACGTTCGATAACAAATGAAAATTTATTGGGAAATATTTGACGAGACAACAAAAAATACGGAAATTCAGCAACTTGCGAAAATTGTAAAAATTAAGGTGACGTAAATTATCGCCGCAATAAATAAGAACAAAATCTGGCGAAGTTTAAGACGGTACAAAAAGCGCTAAATCGAGCAAGAAATAAGAAGAAATGGAGATAAATGAAACCGAAATACACCCGAAGATTGTAATTCTAATAAAAATGGTAATGATCGTTCATCATAAATAAATTTACAGAATTAACGAAAATACCCACAAACTGCGGAAGAGAATTTCTCAAAAACCGGCAAACTACATTATTCATACTGACGGCTGAAAACCTGTCAAAAATTATAATGGACAAATCGTCTGACAGCCGACTGGGAAATGCGGCGGGATTCCTGCGGCGGCCGACATTATAATGGTTTGCTCGGGATGGCATCATGGCGGTTGCCCGGTTTTTATCCAAAGTAATCGCGCGGGACGCGCGCAATTTCCGGTGCGTTGGCTGCGCTGATAGGATCGGATTCCGCTGACAGCGTCACACCGGCGAATTACAGTGTTATTTGGGTGATGCATTTGGGATGCTGATGCGCCGGTGAATCCGATACCTGAATCAGCGGGAGAAATTCCTGGTTTAACTAGCGTAGTTTAAACAGTTAAAGTAGAACGATTATGTCGCCGGGGATTATGCGTGAGAACAAGCGCTGCGTGTACTCTGTACGAGACGATCCCTATTCTTTACAGAAACGCGAAGTTGTGGAGGATTACTGATCGTGAATAGCTACAACACTGTACACACGGTACATAATTACATAATCAGGCAGTAAAGTAATTTTGTTTTAATAACCGCCGGCAATTAATTTTTAATTCATGGTAACAATTGGAAACTGTTATGCGTTTTGTTAGTGCAAACGGTGATTAAATATTTAAAAGCAGCAACATCGCTAAATTTCACTAACGACAATCTGTCTGCATGGACGGTGAAATTATTATTAATTTTCCCGTAATTATTTAGTAACTTTAATGCGCAACGTTCTCCGCTGTATCTCGAAAGACAGCCAAAACGGAGACTTTGAAGCGGAAATGACGACTTTGATGTGAAATTGTTGTTCGGATGTGACAAGGGACGAGTAGCACAAGCAGCGGAAGACGATCCGGTTAACGGTCACACCGCCTGTCTGATCACGTCACCCGCTGGTGCAGACGACAGCCCACGAGAAGGTCAAAAGTGGCCCAATCAAGCATGTCGCAGGATATTCTGCAGCCGGCACGACGCACAATCTGAGCGCTTTCTTAATTGCGCAGGAGATGACCTTTTGTTCTCCACTGCAGAATGCAGCTTAACGACTAACATGCGTCACACCGTCCACGTCCGTCTGATTGTACGTTAAGCGAAGTGACCTGGTGTATGGTGCCAAATTCCGGGACGCGCACACAAACTTTCCCTTTAGCGCACTGTCATACACATTATTTTGGCATCGAATTACTGCATGTTGTTGCCAAACGATTTGTACACGTTGGTATGAAAACCGTTTGGATGGAAACAGTTGCTGGCTGGAAGAGCAACTGAAACGCTCTCGAGTAATTCGTATTCTGGACAAGAGTTTTCCCGTTTTATTGCTCGCGTACTATTTAGTTTCACGGCACACATTTTCTGTGCTACGAGAAACGGTTTTATGGTCTATTATTTTGTTTTTTTGGCACGGGTTAACAAATACCGACAACTGCGGCTGAAGGGTCGAAATACGGCCCGAAATCTCTCATATCATCCACAGCCCTGGCCCTTGGTCAAATATCGGCTGGCTTTATTAAGACAAGATAGAATAACAATTCTACCGTCATAGGTTAAGGTTTGACGAAATACAGCGTTTCTATGAATTTTTAAATCCTTATGTGTCCGGCCGGGGCCCTTTGTTAGAGAACGGTTAAAAGTTCTACTGTATCTGGGTGCTTTCGGAATGGAACCGCTCTTGTTACAGACAAATACTAGTAACACCACACAAAAGCATCTGCCACTCACCTTTATTTTCACACGTGGAAAAGTCATGTATTCTGCTATGTGTATAAGACTACTCGTACAGCTACGGAGATGAATGAGTTAACTGCTGAGACAGTCGGATGCAGAAAAAGGCCCAGCAAATGATAACATAGACGTATTAGAAAAAACGACCATGCAGCGTCCGGCAGTAAGTAGTCGCGCACTGAACGGCGCTGCTCATGCGGGCTGATGCTTCGTATGCGAAACGGGTACAAACGAGTGCTTCGTATGCGAAATTAGAGTACAAACGCTCTACTAGTACTCTTCTGCAACGACACGTAATCACCCCAAGAGATGCTAACGGTCTGACCGGTTCGGTGCGGTTAGACGAGAAACTCGACTTTACTCCACAGCCGCTTTAACCGACTCAAAACGGTTCGGTTAACCGATAAACTGTGACTTGCAAATGGGGCATCCAAACCGAACCGAACCGGTTTTAACCGCGGTTACAAACGGTTCGGTTTGGTTTTTGGCATCTCTTTTCTCTACTGACCCTAGGCTATATTGTTCTGCGCTTCTTCGGCATTGGTCCACTCCCGTACTGAAACGGTCGCCCAATTTTTATCGCTAGCACCCGGATGCATCGTATACGTAAGGCATCGCTGCATGGCAGTTACAGGTCGTACTTGTTATAACGCGAAATCATGCTAACGTAGTTACATTATGTTGTATTGGTACACCGGTGCTTGATTCTTTACAGAACGCATTAAAAAAATTTTGCCGGAAGGCGCCTGAGCAGCAGCTCATGCAGGCATTGCGCTGACCAGCTACCGCAACCAACCAACATTTGGCATGCATTCGCACATAACCACTTCTGCTTTGGCTGGTGTCGTAAATCGCAAGCAGCTTTTTTTTTGCAAACTGATTTCAGAAACGGCATCGAAGGGAATGCTGTGTAAGACAGGCCTTATTCAGTGCATCATCCTGGCGCACCTAGTATATTCCACGTCCGCCGAAAAAGGGCCTAATTACAAATCGGTGTCGACAGTGGAAGATGACGCACAACGACCGCCTAGCGGAGTGTTCGTGGCCTTCCCGCTCTTTGCGACACAGCTGATGACGCGGGACCAGTGCATGCGGCAGTTTACGGCCAATTGCCGCCCGCCGGGGTTCTCCGCCCACAACTGCAGCGAGCAACAAGGCCTGCTCTTGAAATGCGACAAACAAGTCAAACCACGCGAAGTACATCAGTTGGCCCTGTCTCTATCCAAGCCGCCCCTCAAGGCGGTCCGCATTGACCTCTTTGACGGGGAGGCGGTGACCTTTGACAACCTCTCGCCGGTGCGGGAATTAATCGTGGCATTCCGGCTGAGTCACTGTCGTTCTCTGCGCGCCACCAGCAAACTGTCCAAACTGCGTTTCCCGAATTTGCTGGAGTTCACAGCGGCCGAATGTTTCGATCTGGACGTGCGACGCGGCGATTTCTGGTATTCCGCCAAGCTCCGACTGATCCAGTTCGTCAATTCCACGCTGCGTTCCTTGGAAGCCGGCACTTTCACAGACCTTCCCGCGTTGCGCTTGTTGACGCTCGAGGGCGGTTGGCGAGCTAGTGACCTTTACGAGGATCGCGTGCGGGAGTACCTGTCGCGACTGCACTGCGGCTGCGAATACCAGTGGTTCCGCCAGTGGTGGGCGGTCAACGGTTTAAAGCGCGGCGCTGGCGAAGGGGAAGTGTACGAGATCCAGTACGCTTCCTGGGCTAATTCCAATGTATCCAAGGATGACGTCTTCGTGCCCGTTAACTGCGCCGCTCCTTTCCCCAACGGATCCGCCTCCGTCGACTTTGCACAGGAGATGTACTCCATCAACGAGGAACGATGTAAGCGATCGCGTTTACTTATGCAACAAATATACATACAGTAATATTCATTAGTACACTTGCTGTACGAAAGTCGCAACGCGGCTTCCGTACACCAAGGATGAACTTCCCAAATGTACAGGATGAACTTCCAAAATATTTAATCAACAGAACGGAACTAACTTCTTTCTTCTTCAAAGTCACACCAAGCCTTTAGTAAATACCAATTTTTCAGTCCTTAGACACAAGACTAAAATTTAATATAATCGTATAATCGTTTATGGAATTAATGATCAAGGGCGTTAGATAATAACAGCAAGACGCTCAAGTTTTCCTGCAGTGATCCGGACAAAAAATTGTCTTATTAAAACATCAAACGTAAATACTGTTTGAATAAATAAAACCTTCCGAAGCACAGTTACGCGCTAGTTGCTAAAATCGTGCCGTACTAGCGGCCAGTAACGGTGGGTCAGCAGCATCGGCTCATTTGCGGCCAGCGGCACGTCGTCTGGTTGGAGGAGTCCGTTTGGTTATCGTGGTTGTCCCTGTCGGGGTCGTTGGTGTTGTCCTGGTCATAGTTGTCGTGCTTGTCAGTGTTGGCATCCATGTCGGTGTTGCAAGTCTCGACCTCGTGAGAGCGGTTGTCGGGACGGGCCGCCAGTGGCAGGTACCGAAGCCCTTTTCGTCACTTATACGAGGAGTGCCGAAATGCACTGCCGTCGTACCACATTCCCGGTGCTCCTTGCGCGAGAAGCCTTGATTAAAGATCCCTGAATCTGCGAAGTGCTCAGGCATGCTTAACACCAGACATCATTCATACAATGTAGGACTAAATGGTCGCATAGCCCCATACCCAGCATTCTGTACGCAAGCGGTGCAATGCACTTGTACGAAACGGATATTTTGAACTCAGTCGTACAGTGCACTGCGCTGCATTCGTACTGAA